AAGTAGATATTATTGCATTCATAATTCAAAATAATAGTAAAAAAATGGAACCCTGAACCTGCCTCTACATCCACCTCATCTTCATTACTTATTACTCATAATTAAGCTATATATTTTTTCTGCATAGGTATTCATGTCTTCACCAAATTGTCTCCCTGGTACTGAAGAACAGAAATGAACTCTTTTATTACCGCCCCTCCCACCATATGATGTGAGGGGGCAGAAGGGAGTTTGACTGCCTTTTTTTTTTTTTAGTTGTGCATGTTCAAATTTCTGTGCAGGTGAGTTAGTGAAAAAGTTATGGAGTGAAAAATGCTGAAAGCTATGAAGGAAAAACATCAGCAAAATGGTTGGAACTGGCAATGAAATACAATACAAATAGGATATTGATAGTTCTGTTTATTTATTAAGGTACCCTCATATTATTGTAGGCCCTCGAAAATATACACGTTAAAATATTTAAATATCAGGTAAAATTAACATAATATTTGCAGAAATTAAAAAATTTCACCCATCAAAGAAAGGCCCACATTCAACCAAATTCCTCATAGAAAACCCATGTAAACACTCCGATGTTACACTTTGTGCAGAAGAATTAAAACAACAACAGTTTTGTTAGAACAAGTAGAAAGTGAGTTAAGGGTCATCCCTGAAGAATTTCTTATGGGACCTGATACTTCAATCTTGTCATTTTCAGCTGAGCTTCCTGGTTTATCTCAGCTGCCTGAAAGTAGTATGAAGATGTAAGTGTTCTCTAAGATATGTAGAACTCAAACCATGAAGAGGTTTACAAGATAAACTCAAACTGCCCTATATTGCCCTCACCTTTCTCCCCTATAGCATCACCACAACAACTTCTATGAGGATAGGAGAGACCTTTTTCTTTCTCATGTAGCAAAATGCACTTTACACCAGTAGTCTTACCTATGATTTAATTAGGGTAATCTGTGAAGAACATGTTGGAATTTCAACTTCTTCAACACACAGTTCCAAACTTTACATCTACCGTTTATAGGACCAGCCATCTACTTCCACAACAGTTTCAAAGTCCTGATTGTAATCTTTAAGTCTCAATTGTTATCAAAGCCTGTCTCTCACCCAGGCTATGTCTAGACTGCAGGCTTCTTTTGGAAGAAGCTTTTCCAGAAAAGATCTTCCAGAAAAACTTCCGAAAGAGAGCGTCCACACTGCCAAAGTGCATTGAAAAAGCAATCTGCTTTTTCAAAAGATAGCATCCATTCAGTGTGGATGCTAATCTCACCTGTGCTTTTTCCTCTTCCTTCGAAAGAACTCCTTCTTCCCCGTCCACACACGCCTTTTTCCAAAATAGCTCTTCTGGAAAAAGGATTCTTCCTTGCAGAATGAGGATTTCCAATGTCAGAAAAACCCCTCTGTTCTTCAATTTTCTTTCAAAAGAACGCAATTGCAGTGTGGACGTAACTCAAAACCATCTGTTTTTCTGAAAAAAAACCTCTGTAGTGTAGACTTACCCGCCCACTCTGCACCCTACAATGGTAGCTGGGAAGAAAGAAGATACTGAAGCTCCCTTGGATGAAATTGCCAGGACTGAAAGCAGAGAATCCTGTGGGGAGAATCCTCTGAATGTGGTATTAAATTCCATCAGAAATCCAAGTGAGCCCAAATCTAAAGACTTTTAGACAGTGATGTAAAACCCAAATTTTTGGACAGGTTTTATCTCTGTAAACAATTCTAATAATGACTGACCCTATTTCCTTCTTGAAGGTAACCACTATTGACTTGTTTCAGTGAAAAAATTAGCCCAAAATGAGGAAGCTGAATCAAACTTCATTTCCTTTGTGACAGAAGCAAGGCTTTTTAATTTATATTCAAGATACTACTGAGACTGGCACACTAACAATACTTAGGTATACAAGATACAACTACATGTCAAATCTTATTGTAACCACAAGTTGCATATTAGTGCTAGGTGCCTTACCAATGAGTACTGTAGCATTTTGTAATCAGAACTGCAGCATTTCATGCCTCTCAGTGAAGTGAAAGTGATCATTTTAGCAAGGGATATGTCTCAACAGACCAATTGCAACATGGCATGCTTTTTACTGAATCGAGTGGTATTCTACAGATCATCAAATGATATGGTCCCCTTACATATTTTTATGAATAAATCACATTCACATAACATTCTGAAACAATTATACAATAGAAAACATTTCTAACTATTATCAGCAATTTGTACTAGAATATTCAGATATTAACTGTCCAGAATGTTACACACAGTGTTGAGTGAAACTTTGTGTTGAGTGGATTTAAAAATCCTCTGATGGGATTGAAGGATGTGAACATGATCTTCACTTAAACATAAATGTACGGATAAATACATCATACATCATAATCCAAGATTAAATTGTTATATGAACCTGCCCAGGAGTTTTAGGATGGATGGAGGGTTTTTTTTGCTGACCACAGTTTTGAGTAAAGTGTGTATGTGAAGGGAAAATAGGGAGTATTGGATAGAAACATAGGGGGATGTGTTCGTGGGGTGGGGTGAGGGGGGGAAGGTGGGGAGGCAAGTAAGCTATACAGCTGAGACAGTAAATAAGATTCTGAACAAAAACTAGTCTGATTTTTGAGTCTGGTGTTGGCTAAAGAGTCTTGGAGCTGTAAGCTAAAAAAAACTATGATTTTGGTTCTGGTTCCTCCTCAGTTTGGAGAAGCAGGACCTTGAACATTGCTTATGAACAAACAAGACTGCATGAATGAAAATATGAGGCTTCTCCCCTCAGCACAAGCCCCTTCCCCATATTTTTCCTCTCCCCTTCCCTCCTCACAGCCCAGCCCAGCCGCTTTCCCTCCCCCAGGGCAAAGCAAAACATTCCGCCCCCCCCTGTTTTGTCTTTTACACATTTGCATTTTGCAATGGTTTTTTTTGTTTGTTTTCATTTTTGTCCCAGCACTTTAGCCCTATAAATAGCAAATAGCATTTTTGTTCATTTTTTTCCATAAAGGCAAAGGCGCTTCAAGTGAACTCCCTCTTTCACTCGCTGCTGGGGCACAGCAGCCTTTTCCCTTCCCTGTCCAGCCCCACCCTATGGACAAGCACCCATCACTCCCAACCCACAGGGGAAACAGGGTGCAGGGACAGCACAGAGCCAGAGGGGTGCAGGGAACAGTGTGGAGGGGGGCAAGGGGTGGCGTGGGGAACAGGAAGCACAGGGACGCAGGGATCAGGGGGAGCAGTGTGCGGGGTAGTCACGGGGAATGGGACGCGGGGAACGGGAGGGGCAGAGGGATCGGGGTCTAGGGGCAGTGCATGGAACGGACAGCACAGAGCTGGGGGGAGGAGCAGGGATCGGGGGGAGCAGGGTGTGGGGTGCAAGGGCGGCACAGAGCCAGAAGGAGAGAAGGAGATCTGGAGTGCAGGGGTGGCGTGGCGAATGGGCGGTGGGAGCCAGATGGAGCGCGGGGCGGGTGCAGCTAGCTCATCCAAGTCTTGCTTGCTGACTTGTACCTCGTCATCCCTCCCATGTTGAACCCGGTCGTTTATGGCCTGAAGACGAAGCAGATCCGGGAACGGGTCTTCAAGCTCTTTAGACAAAGACAGGACTTAGCAGAACCCCGTATGGATGGAGGCCACTGACACAGCCCCTCAACTTAGGAGAACCCCTCTGTTATCCCCATTTTCACCTTTCTGTCCCCGTCCCCAACACTGTGGCCTCACATGCACTGTGCAAGAAAAAGAGAGTGTGTGTGTGTGAGAGAGAGACATTTTGGCTACGTCTAGACTGCATCCCTCTGTCGAAAGAGGGATGCAAATGAAGCACATCAAAATTGCTAATGAAGCAGGGATTTAAATATCCCGTGCTTCATTAGCATAAACATGGCCACCGCTCTTTTTTTTTAATTGAGCTTTTTCCGCAAAAATGGCAGTCTAGACACGGATCTATCATTCTGAGTAATTCATACTTAATGATGTTCAAATTGACTAACCGATGATCAGCAGTGTAACTGTCCACTCAAACTGTGAGGGGAAAAAAGTACTAGAAGATGTTTAAAATCTGAGGTATCTGCTATTTGTTTCAGTAGTATGGCTATGAGAGTTTACTTTACACTTTGTTTGCTTGCAGGTTGTACTTAAAATGTTAGGGCCTAATCCCGCAACAGTTATGACTGCATGCATAGTTAATGGCTCCGAGGAGGCTATCATGCATGATTTATCCTAGGAACTCCCAACACAGTACAAGAAACTTCTTGTGCTAATTAAATGTGATCTACCTACACTTGTTTCCAGGGGAAAACAACATAATTACCTGTCCTGGCAATTGTATCACATTGGGAACTAGTCCACATACCATTTGTGCACCTTATCTTGCTAACTTCTTCCTTATATTGCATGTACGCATAGCCGTCCCACTATGCAAAAAGAAACTGTTACCTAGGGATGGAGAAGTGGACCTCTGCATGGCCAGAGCACAACAGAGCTAAATTCTAAGAAAGCATACACCCAGACTGTATTTCGAAAAGAAAGTGTAGCATATCTACTATCACACATTTTTAGGTTCCAGGTGTGCTTTGAAAATTTTAATGTGAATGAAATGACTTTCACAATGTGTCCCAGCCTGTGTTGCTATTGAACAAATGAGGGAGAGATTTGGGGGAAATGAGTGATGTGTTCTACTTTCTTTTCAAAGTGCTCTCAGTGGGAACAGAATAATTTCTTAATTTAATAACCTAACCCTCTCACTGCTGGTAAAATTCTACATTCTCAGTATTGATATGCCAGTCCCTATTCTTCCCTGCAATGTTAAACGTACTACAGTAGTGGAGATGGAAAGGAACCTGTACCAAATAAAATACTCCCTTACACGCACGCGCGCGCACACACACACACAAATTGTTCCATTCTTTGCATATGTCTTATTTGATAAAGCAACTCACATTCTGAAAACCTCACTATCTGATTATTTGGGAACACACATATGTATACACAACTAGAAACACATAGATATAGAAGTACTTACATTTGTACTGTGATCACTTCCACTGACACAGATGACATCTTGTTTTTGAATTGTCAGTACTTCTTTTGTAAGCTTCAGTTGGATGTCATAGGCATTTTCAGACCCTTCATCATATAATAATGCAATACCAGTTTTAGTCTGTGGAAACAAAGTACAAAATTAGAAATAAAAGTTTAAGTACAGGAGCATTTTATGATGATAAATAAATAAAAGGCCTTTTTATTTAAATAGCTCTTGCACAAAAAATATACATTGTCTAAAACAATAAGTGGAAGATCACATTGTTTTCTGACATTTTAAATTGATTTGAATGGTCACACAAGGGCTTGATCTTCATTCACATGGAGGCCCCTTTACACATACCTGGCAGGGTAAATGAGCCTTAAAGTGGGTGTAGATGTACTTCATTCCCACTTCAAGACCTCTTTCCACTGCCAGGAGAAGAAATGGGGTCAGTGAAGTGGCTCTGTTTTGGAAGGATTTTTTGTTTGCTTGCTTGCTTTAAGTATACATATTGTGACATGTTTTTTTCACTAGAGAAGGCCAAGTTCAAAGAAATGCACCTTGTGTTGGAGTGGACAGTGGAAAGGTTTTTGAAGGTCTTTCATTCCTGGGGGAGTGCATTCCATAGTCTGAGATTGGCATCAGACTGCCTCCCCAAGAAAGTTCTGTCTTCTGCACAGATGAACTTTACCTGTAATGTACACAGTTCCACTGTGCTAGAGGATTACAATCCAGTTTTATATATACTCAAGCACATACATTATATATTTCAGTTTGTGAAAGTCAAATTATACATCTATGTCTGCAGTTACAAAGGATTTAATAAATGTTATGCATCACACTAAAGTACACTGTCACCAGAACATTAAATGATAAGCTACACTGAATAACTGAAATATGCTTATTTAACTATAGGCCCAGCACCCTTGGAACCTGACCAGTCTCAGATGATGGATTTTGCTGGATCAGGGGAGGTCATTTCTGGTCCCCCTTTCACTAGCCCCCTCAAGTCCTGGGCCAAATGCCAGGCTCCCAGCCAGCTCCCTCACTCTTGTTGATTCTCACTGCCTTGGCACTCACTGCCTGGCTGGGCAGCCCTGCTACCTCTGTTCACCGGGTTCCTACGGCCGCACCCAGCTCTTCTGTCATGCCCGGCAGACTGCTGCCTCTGTGCACCAAGCTCTTGCTGCAGTGCCTGGTTCCTGCTGTCATGCCAGGCAGTCCTTGCTGCATCTGGGCACCGGGCTCCCAATGCCCTACTGGGTAGCCCCACTACTTTGCATGAGGCTCCCCCTGCCCTGCCAGGAAGCCCTGCTGATGCGCATCAGGCTCCCGCTGCCCTGCCAGCCTGCAGTACTCCCAGGTGCTAGCTGTCCACCAGGGACTCTCATGGTCCTGATGGACCAGAGAGTCCCTGTTAAGAAAATTTCAACCTGTACAAAAAGCCATCAACTTTAAAATCTAAAAGACAGCTGATAGCTAAAAAAAAAATATTTTCCCATGTTTTCTGCATACTATTGTGAGCAGAATACATTACACAAGATCAAAAGCTATGTGACAATGCAACCTGAGACATCTAAATATATTAATAACAGAAAAATTAACATGTTCACATTTTGGTCCTGTGATCTTTGTTTATGGAAAAACAAGTCTTCAGTATGAGATATTTAATAAGGTTTCCAGGAATTAGGACCCTATCTGGTAATGTCAATGGACTAGAACATTTTCAGAAGATAATGAGCTTTAGACAAATGACTCTATTTGCATTCTGTAGACTGAGAAAAACCAAAACATCTATTTTTCAAAGCAGAAATTAGTGATTGCGTGATAATATTTGAGTTGCAACATTTATCAGCCTAGAAATTTCTAATTTGCCCTTCACAGTAGTTTCAAAAGGCTGTGTTTATTTTTATTGCTAATATTCCAAACTGTTTCTGTACACACATTCACATTGTCTGACAAATGCTGGTGCAGTAAAACATTTGTACCATTCACAAGAAAAAACATTTTCACATCTACCATGAGTCATATATTTCTTGAGTTACATATCTTTTTAAATCCATGATTTGGTATGTTGAGTTTTTTCTCCTTTGTGTGATTTAAGAACTAACAAAATTAAGGATCCCAGCAGAACTATGGAAAATGAGATTAATTAATTAGTACACTATTGACTTTGCAGAAACAGATTATAAGCATTACATTGGAGGTTTGTAAATTTTAAGTCAAATAAGAGCAATTCTATTCACGTAGTCTGACCTCTTGAATAAAACAGATTATAGCATTTCACTTAATGATTTCTGTGGTGAAGGAAATTATTGTTCCCTGCTATGTAAATGAACAATATCAAGCCCAATAATTCGTGATCCAGATTGAGCATTTCCTTTAAAAAGACAGCATTAAATTTCATATGCTTACTCTTGTCAGATATCTTGTTTTATATATACACAAAGAGCAACTGACTAATGAAATTAAAAAGAAATAAGCCCTTGGCATTGAATGCACATTAACCAAAAGATGTATAACACACTGAAGGTACATCAAATTGATGTTGCTGAAAGATTAGGCCTGGCCTACACTTGAAAATAAGTCAATTTAACTACGCCTGACTGCTGCAGTTAAGCTAAGGTAAGTCCCTGTGTAGACAGCAGTAGCTGTACAGAAGAATGGTTGCATCAACCTAGCCACTATTGCTCAGGGAGGAGGATTGCCTATGCCAATGGGAGAATCCCTCCTCTCGGCAGAGGTACTGTCTACACTGAAGTGTTACAACCAGACGTTGTCAGAAGCACAGCAGTGCCACTATAGCATTTAAATTGTAAACAAAACCTCAGTGTCTATTAGGAAGGTGTGAAAGAAGCGTAACTCTGTCTTAGAGGGATGCTGTGGTTCTTTCACTTCCTAATATTACAAAGTTTTTGATACCATATTACTGATACTGATCAGATGATCTAATAATTTTTATGTGAGTATACCGTACTATAAAATTATGTCCGACACAATGTCAAATATTTTCAAAAGTTAGAAGAAAAATCACTTTACTCAAATTGCGTTTTATTCATACAATATCTCATAATCATTAAATTGACCCTGATAGTCCATCTTTGCTATTACTTGCACAGAGACACTATGGCTGTGTCTACATTGGCATCCTTTTCCGGAAAAGGGATGCTAATGAGACACATCGCAATTGCAAATCCGCGGGGAATTTAAATATCCCCCATGGCATTTGCATTTACATGGCTGCCGCTTTTTTTCCGGCTTGGGGATAAGCCGGAGAAAAGTGCCAGTCTAGACATGATTCTCCGGAAAATAAGCCCTTTTCTGGAGGATCTCCTATTCCTACTTTCAAGGGCTTATTTTCCGGAGAATCACGTCTGCACTGGTGCTTTTCTCCGGCTTATTCCCAAGCCGGAAAAAAGCGGCAGGCATGTAAATGCAAATGCCGCCGGGGATATTTAAATCCCCCGCGGATTTGCAATTGCTATGTGTCTCATTAGCATCTCTAACAGTGTGCCAACCTGCTCTTAAATCTCTCCAGTAATGGAGATTCCACAACCTCCCTACACAATTTACTCCAATATTTAACCACCCTGATCGTTTGGAATTTTTTCCTAATGTTCAACCTAAATTTAAGGAAATTTAAGCCCATTGCTTCTTGTCCTATCATCAGAGGCCAAGGAGAACAATTTTTCTCCCTCCTCCTTGTAACATTCTAAAGAATGTACAAAATATTTTGCTTCTACAGCATTTTAGCCCAGTAAAATTTAGAAGTAAAACTCTCTAACCTAAAATATGTACAATACAATTTTACACTTGCACGTACATATCACAAATATTGCATTCATTTAGGGAAGTATTTTTTGACATTTTCAGGTTGGAAACCCCTTATTCAAAACAAATATTTATTTGTGTGACCCCTTACATTTATGGCAAAAGGAAAACTAGCAATGGAAACAATGAAAAGCCTACATAATTTATTTGTGCATTTGCGAGAAATCCCCGTTCGTAACTGCGGATCCGACATAAGTCGGATCCGCGTAACTCGGGGACTGCCTGTACGCTTCCTAGTACACTTTGTAGTGAGATAACCATGAGTTATTGCAGTTACCCTTTTACCTTTATTTTTATACAAAGTGATTATGTTTGTGCCACACATCTCTTGCAGTACTTCATCCTATTTCCAACATTTAAGTAGCAGCTGATGAGAGTGTGGTAATAGATTGTCTCTCTCACACTTGAGGTTTTCTGTTGAAGGACCATCTTTTCCATGAGCCTTGCAACTTTATATCAACTCAATGACCTTGCTTATCTCTTCTACAGTGGGCTCCACTTCTAGCTCTGGCTTAACCTGTAAAGTTGATATTTGATCCAGGGATTCACTAGTGAGGTTTCTGTCTTGTGTATATATAGCTCTGAATAGTTGTTCAACCTAACAAGACAACTCCTTGCTTTTATCTGTAATTATTTCACTGCTGTGCGAGTTGAGAGGGACAACCTTGTTGACAGCGAGACCTAGACTTTTCTTCAGGCCAGTATAGATGACTTTGCGTTTCCTTTTCCTGAGTCTGTCTGTCTATTTCTTCACAGGCTTGATCCTAAAATGTTGCCATCTCTCTTTGCTTGCTGTACCTCGGGTTTTGCATGTTAAATCTCATGTTGGTGCTCTCTTTTGGCCTCTTATTGTATTCCAGACAGGCTGTGTTCGTAATGTTGATGAGAGATGACTTATAATGCATGTTAAGCTCAAAAGCCTTCAAAGACTTGACATTTCCTCTATTTTTAAGTTTTAATAGCATTGATTTTTGGTCTTGCTTCTAGGTTTTGCTCTATGTAGAGAGTTAGCTAAAATCTTCACGTTGCTACTTATCAAGGAATGTCATTATCACAGTCACCACCATGGAACATGCAAGAATTCTCTACAATGAGTTGGTGTTTCTTCTTGATAATAACAAGGCCTAAGTAGTGTCAATGGCCTGACTGTGGATGTCACCATGAGACTTTGTGGTGAACTTTTCCTATATAATATGAATTGGTAATGCACACTTGGCTTTAGAATTCAAGATGTCATTGGTTATTCTTATTCATCTTGCCATTGCTTAGCAATCTGGCCAAGAATTGTTGTTTTCACCGACTCC